AGTTGTAGAATGTATAACGAAAGGTCAGTACCTCACATTGCTCCTATTCGCCGTTTAGTTTCATTGAATATTTTCGAAAACGCTTATCATATTCAAGACAGGCACATTTGCTCTCTTACACAGTATATTGCTAAAATGAAGAAGTTACAGAACAACCGGTTGCTACATGCAGAGCAAAATATGGACCTGAATACTGCGATAAATTGGAAGCACGTTGTTATGAGAGAGAGAATATTCCTGTCATTAGGCACCAACCTGGCACACTCTACGAACTACCTTCAGCAATAGTTGTATGTATAAGAACAGGTATGTTATTAATGGTTGCATAAGTATGTTAGAATGACGTTCTCCGGTTTCATTGGAGATCACCGTGATGCGATGATACTTACTACAGTAACAAAAATGTTGAACCAGTAACAACGAATATCTGCTAAAATGCACGGTAACATACGGAGGAATCGCTGAATTATCATTTGCAGAAGTAGTTATCGATTTGTGTGCAGCGAAGTACGGTAAAGAATTCTGTACAAAACTGAAAGTGACATGTGCAAATATGCTCGGTATCACCATACCAACTGGTTCGTCCGCTGTTTTACCTGAAATGGTTATCAAATGCATCTCCACGGGTGAGCATCAAATGAAATGTTGTGGTTGTTCCAGTTTGAAAGATAAAACATCAATAATGAGTTGTTTAAGAGCATCCGATTGCTACATGCGTAACGAAATTTGGGACCGAATTGTGCAATAAAATCGAAAAACGTTGCTACAACATTCAGAGCATACCTTACATCAAACACCGACCCGGCAACCTTTACGAGGTCCCGCAAGCAATCGCTATTTGCATAACAACGGGTGAGTAATCCGTGACTTATTCTCATTCATTGCATTTGTGTATGATCAGTATTATTATCGAATGAAGTTGTTTTCTAGCATTAAGAAAACCCCTATATCATTTGGAAGTTTTTGTTTGAAAATTGTTTTAAGAAACGGTCCTCGACTCGTGCATATCGAAATATGGTAGAGACTTCTGCACGAAGTTGGAAACGACATGTGCTTCACTGCTCGGTATCAAACTTCCAGAAGGTGCCCTTCGCTCTCTACCAGAAGTTGTTGTTAAATGCATAACGAAAGGTAACTTTTCGTGATCATCCATGGACATTTCACTTGCTTTTCGAAGAATGTTGAAAATCTCAGATACAACAATGAAAGTGAACGCAGGAGACCAAATCTGCCCAGCTCATGCTAAAGTTGAGCATTCTTTAAACCTATTGCCTTTTTAGAGAATCCAGTTGCCACGTGCAGAACAAAATATGGTGCTGAATTCTGCGACAAGTTGAAGGCGCGTTGTTACCAGAAAAAACATATTTCCATCATCAAACAGCAAACTGATACACTCTACGAACTACCTCAAACAATCACCATCTGCATGAAAACAGGTATTTCGTCAGTTTTGAATGGTTGTCGTGAAAAAAAAACAGTTTCCGTGTGCGTTCAGGTGTTTGGGGATTCATGGAATCAACAAGAATGTAACTACGGTCGTATTCCAGTAGATTTAAATAGTAGATGACGAACTGACGCTTTACAGAATTGGTTATGGACACGTGCGCAGCCAAATACGGCAAAGAATTCTGCAACAAATTGGTAGTATCATGTGGATCTTTACTTGGTATCAGCATCTCCATCGACTCGCAAATTGATTTGCCTGAAATTGTTATCCAGTGCATTTCTATTGGTAGGTATATCACAGCATGTGTCATGCATCATTCCTTGTTTACTGCTTTGCTAGCCATAATACCAAATAGTGAGCGGTGATGT